GGAGAACTCATTTACATTCAAAGAGAAGGCTATGTCACTTACAACCCAAACTCGCCCGGAGAGATTTTGTTGGCCGACTTCCCGGACGAAGTTCCTCAGAATGGCACCGTACATCCACAGGATGATCACTCTGATGTTTTCGTGTCGCCTGAGCTCTGTAACTATATCCTTAGTGTTTGTAATCTGCGCACCATGATGGGGTATGAATTTTGTCATAGCAACACAGAATGAGCCATTTTTATTGCCGGCTTCCTCGATGAGTGACCACACACCATATCGTCCATACGCATCATCGACCCCAATAGCAGCTACGTAAGTCCAGTTGAAGTGTTCAATGATATCAGCAACTGCTTTTGCTAAAAAGGTATCTGACGGCACTGTTCGATATAGGTGTTTGTAGGTATGAGAACTGAGTACAGAACTCATTGCTGTTGTGCTCATAGCTGAAACATTAAGCATTTCAAGAAATCCAGCGATAACTAGCGCTGTGGTAGATTCGGTTGGGCCGATTAAGGCCACGATAGACGTCTTACCCATTTTGCTCTGTGTAGCGTTGGTACAGGACGTCTCTTGAAACAGATCGTAGGTGATTCGGGTTGCTTTAGTGATATTGGCACAATAATCCCGTATGTCGTATCCTAGAGAAATGTTTGGAAGAAGATTTGGGTCATTGTTGATATTTTCTATGGCATAGATCATTGCGACAGCGTATGCCACTCTCTTGGTGATCTCCCCGCAATGACCCTCTGACGTTTCTTGGCGAATACTAAAGACGCCACCCAACATGATATCTCCCTGTCTATATGGGGCTTGAACAACGGCATAGCATAATAAACCAATAAACGCGAAGCAGTTGAACGAACGCATTGTACGAACCATGTTGAGTTGTACTCTCCTTAGTGGGACTGATCCTAAGATCAAAGTGTTTAGCTCCTTGAATTTGCTGGCGTAGATAGTTACCTTTGGAGTGTTCCTGTTTAACAGGTGAGCGAGGTCTGTTAAAACAATGGTTTCCTTAAGCTGACTATCTTGCCAACAAGGGAAGTCAAACAAGTGCGGACGTCTTTAAACAACATTGTTATTGTGCAGCTTACTTGGCGGGGGGGTGTTTTGACCATTGTTCGTTAGAATACCTAACTGACATATTTACGGTAATTGAATATTGAATACGGCAAATTATAGTCATCTGCTCACTCCTTGATAATTGCTGCGGGTGAAAGAAAGCGTTAGTGGAACTCTTTTGGCTTTGAATTTTTAACTGATTGGCCCCGTTTTCACTCGTAAGGTTCACGTGAAGTTCCGCAGTGGAATAAAATAAAAACAGGGTAAACGGGTAAAAGACGAAAGTTTAAATTGCGTTCTTATCAGTTCTTGCGCTCAAAAATATATTTAAAAAAATGAAAACTTTGTCCGTGTAACGCAAGTTTTCTGTGGGCAGGTCTACCTCGCTGCTTGACTTGGCTGGTATTATTTTCTAACTCTGGTTAGGTAATATTAATGGCAACTTAAAGTTGACTATCTTTTTTTTTATATGAACTTTTCAATAATCTTTGATTTTTGGTGACGTTTTGAAAACGGATGTTAGACATTTAATTTACATTTGAAAGGAAAGTCTATCTAAAGGGATGTTATTAGCTTGGTTATTACGTGCGTTAAAACTGAAATCGTTTTATTATGATATTTGAGCAAAATGAAAGAGTTCCATCTGTACCTCAGCAGCAAGCCTATTATGGTGTTAAAACAAGCTTTAAAAACGTCAGACTCATATTGTATTCGTTGCAAGATGTCTGTCGTTCCCATGTTTAATGTATAAATAATTAAAAAATAATAATAATAATAATCGAAAATTCAGAAGCTACGCAGAACGTGCCTGAATCTCGGAGAACTTTAATTATAAATGACGAGTAAATGAGGCCATCAAAGTGATGGCGACATACCCTTGTTTCATTAACGACCGCATGGAGAGCAAGACTCAGATAAACGTGGAGCCTACGTTCTTTATTTAAAAATAAACATCACCTCCCCCGCCAAAAAAGAATACAAAATACAAATAAAATGGTCTTGGCTTCTCGGAAGGGGATGTTGGATTCGTAGCTCAAGAAATTCGACACTTTCGAAAGAAAATAAGGCCAAAAATGAGATTAGTTATCTTGCTTGTTTTTATTTTTGTATGCGCGATATTGACTTATTTTTCCTATTGCTACAACTCTGGAATAAAATATTTGCTTTTTTTTAAAAATGTTTAAAACATTAACTCACTGGCTACCTCATTTCACACCCGGGGAATATATTTTGTACAAATTTTCACTTACCAGTATTTATATATCTAAAACTTCTTTTGATATCAGATATTCGCGGCTAGAAATGTTGGAAGGCATGAGCAACAAGTAATAGAAATCTCGGTCGGAGAGTTGCAATTAATATTTGAGCTGGTTTAAAATAACAACTGGTGAGCTAGCACGGTCGGGCAAATATTCCGAAACGTGATGGTGCACTTTACTTGTGGAAAGGGACTGTTGCAAACAGGCCAGTATTGCGGAAGTTTATCTCTGAAGTTTGTCAGTGGTGTGGAGATAAACAACAACTACAACAGCAGGTGAAATAACAAGGAAAAGTGAACTAAACGTCATGAAAAGAGAAGGCTGTACGAGAAGAGGGTGTAAACTTTGAACTCATGGCTGTTATCTACCAGAAATTATTTATCTATGAATTGTTTGTTAATTGTACATCGTTTTCCAGACAACTCATCTTGTATTTTTTACCTTACCAGTGTCGAATCTCAGACCGTAGTATGTCTTACTTCTTAACATGTTCGTATTCGCAATACACTCTCTTTTTTATAAGAATATTGTTGTTGTTTTTAGTCCTAGGCTGAATATTCTTATATTTCTTCCGATTATAGGCTGAGAATATTCTTGTGAATATTCTTAGATTATAGGAATACAAGTGGACTATGCCGACACAACGTCAGATTATCTGTCTTATTATGACTATGATGGCGTTGAAGTAAGTTTGGAGCCAGACTGCAGGCAATAAAGCCTGATAAGACATACATAACATCTTGCAGAAATGTTCTTAGCTTCGAAGATACAGCTAGCGCTGCTGTTTCATTGTTTTTTGTTGTTGTTGTTGTTGTTGTTTTTTGTTTGTTTGTTTGTTTGTTTGTTTGTTTTTTGGCTGGTTTTGCCGTTTATGTATTTTCAAATCTTTAATACACGAAATTTACATTATTTTCTAAATCTCATCCTCAGGTTTATTCTTAAAATTTCACAAATTTCCGCCTCGATATTCTTATAAAGTGTATTATTATTGAAAGGGCGCATTGGCTTCCTTTCGCTGTTGTAAGAATATATGGCTGCTTTGAGAAATGTCGTTCTTAAAATGATGAAATCGTTTGTTCGCTCGCTCCCTACTTTCTTTCCAATAGGAGTTACTTTGCACATTCGCACGCCTTGGTATTCATCAATTTTTAACACCTTTTGTAAAAAGTGCTCTTAACGTGAGTTTTACACGAAGCGAATAAAAAAATTCTTATTGTTTGTTGCAAGATATTGCATCTAAAATTTATATAAGCAGCTTGTAACAGCAGTCATGACAGTCATGACTAGGCAATCGCATTTGGTATCAGAGCTGGCTTGAAATAATAATTTGCGAAATGAGCGGACTCAAATTAGCCTAGATTGTAGTCTTTGAACTGGTCTTTCAACATTGTTTTTTTTTTTTAACTTTTATATTACTTTGTTTCACATTATTCAAAACACGTCGTTTTAGGAGGATGCCCCCTTCTGCTAGCAACTAATCGTGGGTTTTGATAGCGCAAAATGAAAGCTAAAAATGATAGAATAGATTGTCTTCCTTTTCTGTTACCGACGACAATTATTACGTCCATTTTTTTAAGTGGATTATACCTTGTGTGCCTAATATTCACTTTTGGTAAAAGATTGATCTGTCACGTAGACACTGGTTCATGTTTTCATACTTGATAAGACTGGTCGATAACTTTTAAAAAAGCTTAAAGCCCTGGCCAAACGGAGTCGCAAGTAGACGCAAGTAGCCACAAGTTGAACTTGGGTAGAAACTTGCGTTGAGTGGCCAAACGGACTCGTAAGTTTCCTCGCAAGTACACGCAGGTCGCCACAAAAACTCATTTCAAGGCAGACATAAGCTGTGTTTCATTGGCTAATAATAAGTTAATGGACGTCACTCAACTTGCGTTGACCTGGGTTGGGTGGCCAAACGGTGAAAAACTTCCGTCGACGTACGTGCAATTTGATCTCGACCAAAGTGAGCGCAAGTCATCGCAAGTCAACGCAAGTGCACGCAAGGCCTGGCCAAACGGAGTCGCAAGTAGACGCAAGTTAAGAACTTGCGACTCCGTTTGGCCAGGGCTTAGGCAACAGAAGTGCCATTAGTATAGCAGACTGCTAGCAGTTTGGTTTTCTCTCGAAATTCGTCAGCGATTATGAGGCGAGATGCTTTTGCCTAAAGGGGAATAGGTCAAAAGAAAAATCAGTGGCGAAGGATCGGCACAAACGAGAAGTCTGAATACAACGAGGAGCGTGTGCTTGATAAGAGGTCAGGGGCATGAGGTGGACACGTGAGAGACATGACTAGTACCATTGATACACTGTCTTTTACAGATGCACACAACAGTGGCCTTACTTAGGAAATGAAAGGTTCGTTGTGATATCTAAAGGGGTGATTGTTTTCAACTGGGAATCCCTGATGGACTTTGAGATCAGGAATTGGTGGCATGTTACCCATGTTACTGGGATTTACCTATGAGCGTGACAAGAGGTTCATAGTGTTACATGTCTCTGAAATAAAGTGTTACAATGCAGAATGTGTGTGCCTGTCTTTGAGATATTGTCTCTCAGGTCTCATTAACATCAGTTTATGGATGCCATAAACTTAAACTAATAGAAAAGACCGGCTGCCCGCAGTCGAGTAGTATAGCGCCTTTTGTTAGAAAATGTTCCCAACAAGAGTCGCTTATTATCAACGTGTGTTAATTGGCGTAACTTGCTTATGCTTACGCTTATACACGCGTGCCTTTAAAGTGCCACTAACCCCCCAATTTTTTTTTCCATTCATAAAATCTACTAGTTTCCCTGACTACTTCCGCGAAAAAATTATCTCGATTGATAAAATCCCCGTGTTTCTACAGGCGTTTAAACACGTAATTTCTATTTTCACGACCGCGCAAAGTGGGATCTAGGTCGGGCTTCTAGTGACGTCACTTCGGGAACCCGGCTAAAACACTCAAGAGACTTTGGACTGAGCTTTTAGGGCAGTCAAAACATTTTCGGGTCATTTGTGATTCATATTTTATCAAAACTGTACGAGAACTTTGAGTGAAAGAACTGTATCATCTAGCATTACAATTCGGAGTCTAGCTACGATTTAGACGGCTGCGAAGTGCATATTTTTTTCCATTTCGAAGTTCGTGTCGCCAGTCGAGATCGCCACGTTGTATAGTTATATTTAGGCGGGGATCGACAATTTGCCGGTCCATTTGGGTTATAAAGGTACAAAAAATGACTGAAGAGTTAGCTTACAACTCTTAAAGAGTTATAAAGATGTCAAAGAACACGAAGAGTTGGTAATTTGACTTTACGGAACGTGCAAATTTCAGTGTCAAAACACTTTTACATTCAAATACTAATTTCCCCCGAAATGCAAGTTAAAATGCGATGCAGTCGTACTCTACTCTTGCCTACTTCTCCAGATCAATGATTGAAAATAGTTTTAACATAAGAGATAACCAGAGATGTCGGCAAACAATATTCGAAGGTGAGGTAACTTTTCGCTTCGTTATTGACGACCGACCGTAGTATATGCATATTCAATTACTGTGTACGAACACAAGCTACGCAAATTTGCATATTCCGTACCAGTGAAATCATGGAAAATCCGTCGACAAGATCTTGAAAAGAGGTTCAGTATACTTTCAGTTGAATGAATACATTTCTACTTCACTGTTATTTTGAATGAAATGTCCATTTTACGCACGCTAATAACCTGGGAGTCCTCGACTTATTAGTTTGCGTTTCGGT